TCTTTATGAAATATACTAGTTTCTATTAAATATAACAGTGACTTCGGTCTGAAAAATGTGACGTTAAATTACAACTTATATTGATAAATTGTGTAAGAAATTATTTCGTTCCGGTATAAAAAAAAATTATTATTGAACTTACTTGAAATTTAACAAGCAAAAACATTTGATCTCGCAATTGGGGTTCTATTAGGTTCACATAGCGTTCTTGTTCAAGATAAAGTTCATGAGTACTTTTCAAAGAAAGAGCCAAATTTTTATTTTCAGAAACGATTTTTCCATTAGAAGTATAAAGACTTATTGTAGTCATCTTGGGGGATATTTAATACAATGTATTACAAAAAATTAAGATATCTTTTTATAATTATTTATAAATAATAACTTATAAAAAAAAGAATTTATAGAAGTTAATCTAAACTAATAGAAATTACTTTTATCTACTGATTGTATTAATAATTAAATTACCTCTACGGTATTAATTTCTCTCTCTCTTGCTTCTAATGACTGCTCAAGATCTGATTTTTGACAACGCAACTCTTTGATTTGTTCTTGATATTCTTTTATTGTTTCATCTCGTCGTGTAAGAATGTCATCCAGTGCAGATATTTGATTTTGGAAGTCATTAATCTTTTCATTAGATGCTTTCAGTAACTCTTCCAGTTCACTTATCTATTGGAAAAACAATACGTTATAAAATTAAAAAATAAGTGATAGTTTTCAAATGTTAGCAAAACTTACCTTAGAGTTCGCTGCCATATTATTTAATTTTTCTGTGTTTTCACCTGTTGCAATTTCTTCTGATGTTTGACTACAATCCTGCAATTAATTAAATTAATTTTATTTTTTTTCTTGAAAATTTTTTAAGTTTGTATAAAAAATAAATGTTATTCAAAACAAAATAAGAATAAATCTAATATATCTTATAAACAAATATATTTCTCATGGACTACTTTCATTTAATTAAAGATAAGAATAACAAAAATCAAATAACTATTTTTTAATATATATCTGAAACTAGAAATATTTAAATTAATTATTTTAAATAATTATTATAATTAACAAAATCGAGGAATTGAGTCACATATGATTGGTTAATGGTTAAATATGAAGGAACACCATATCACGAATTAATTTTAAAAATTCAAAATAATTTAGTTCTGGTATAAAAAGCTATAAAAATAATTATGATAATTCTAGTATAATGTCTTAGAACTTAATAGATCGAATTCATAATCAGGTTAAATAAAAAAAAATTAAATAAAACGAAGAATTAAAAGTTTGCAAAGGCATTTAAGTCTACGTGTCGGAACTACTAGTCTAATATGATCATAATATAACATTATAACATATAATATAACATTCGTATTGGAGTACTATTATTTACAACGCTATATAAATCAATCTTGATTTATATATTTGGTAATATTTGGTATATTTGGTAATATGAAATTAAATTATGTTAATAGTCAAAATTTTGATTATACCAGTACTTATCTCTATCACATTATTATTATTATTATTATTTTTATTGATTATTATTGTTATTGTTGTAACCGGAAGAAAGTTACTAGTATTGTACCAATATATACATTATTACTTAATTCTGAATGATATTTTTATCAAATTTTTAAAAATATAGTAAACTACTTAAATACTAGTATGAACACATTTTGTTTGATGAAAGTAATAACACGCAATAACAAAATTATGGTTCTTATATCCTCTTTAAAACTATAAAATAAAATTTATTTGCAAATGTTTGCAAAATTTAGCATTCACAAATAATATCTAACAAATGAATAAGATTACACCAATATATACTAAAAAATATATATAATGAGGAATATGAATACCTTCTTATTATCTTCACTATTTTGCATCTGTTTTTCGTTTGCTATCTCCTCCATATGTGTCAGAGCAGCCGCAGCTTCTTTAAGCAATTCTTGCTTATCTTGAACATCTTTACGTAGCATTTCTACTTCAACCTTAAATTATAATATAAACAATAAAAAAAACTATTTAAAACTTTTTATTAATAATACACACCTTATAATCAACTAATTGTTTTAAAAGTGTATCTTCAGGTATGGTTTTATCTGGTTGATTATATCCTGGCACATTTTCTTCTAAAAAATATACACGTAGTCTTAGATTGAAGTTTTCCTTTCGTAAAGATACAATTTGTTCTTCGATCTCTCGAAGAGAATTTCCTTGTCCAGACATGAACCCTTGGGAGCCCACGCAGGGAGAACGGTATCCTACACCATCTGTAATTAACATAACACATAAACATTATTGTTAATGTTTCGTATAATTATTTCTTTGTATTATTGATATTTTATAAAACTATTAAATAAGTACCCTGAAAGATCAATATAGAATATAGTTGAAATATTTGTGTAAATCATATTTTTTAAAAACTAATTTAGAATGTATATTATTTTTAAATAAAATAATGTTTCAAAAACATAATTACAAATAAAAATTTTGGTCATTAAAACAATAAATTATATTATTTTTATATAACTATAAAAAAAATTCTTTTTTATATTATTTTAATTATTTGGATTTTTGGCTGACAGCTGTTTCGAGTATTGCCAAATATGCATCATCAATGGTCTTGGAAATAATTGTTGTATTTAATTATTCGTAAATAATTTTTTGAGACTGCACGTACCAGGAATCGACTCGTGCCCTGCCAAATTTGAAGCTCAGAGTCAGCGCTCTTAATTATAAATTATTATATTACTAAAAAATATGTTGCGTCTTCAGTATATAGAATTTATACATATTTATTTTTTAAAATATAAAGCGTGAGTTGAAATGATTTAAAATACGAAATTGCTTCTGTGGAACAGCATGAAAGCACTAATAAATCTTCATTTGAACTATAAAATTGAAATTATACATAATTTTCGTCACGATTAATTGTTATCTCACTTTATTTATACTGAAATAAATTCCAGTATAATTGAAGCAAGAACATTAAAAAGAGATTACATCATTTTATAACTTTCTCAACGACACTCTACAAAGTATTAGATCAAATTCTTTTAACAAGTTTGCTGACAGCTTTGAATATTTCTATAGTTACGTAAAATATACTAGGTAGTACTGTTAAGTCGAATTTATACATAATGAAGATGATAATCAGACGTATCTTAGTTTACTTTAAATCAGTTAATATACCATATTCATTATTCCTGTTTCTACTTTTTTTTAGAATGAAGCAGAAATCTTTTGCTAAAACTGTTGCTACTTTTTTTTAGAATGAAGCAGAAATCTTTTGCTAAAACTTACACATTTGAAAGGGAGGATTGTAATTCCTCTATTATGTTAATAGACATCAAACTTTCTACTAAACCCAAGATATATATGTTTATCTCAACGTTATATTAAATAGATAATACAGTTTGTACAGTGTTTTTAACTGTTAATACATTTTCAATATAATTTAAACACACATCGTGACATTTCGATAATACATCTCCTAAGATCTACCTTAAGGATTTATATTATAACTAATAGATGACTGCATAACAAACAACTATTTTTAAAATAGTCCAGTCCATTTTGGACTCCACCTGTTATAAATATAAACTTTACACAAGGTACATATTTCATCGTTTGAATAAATCACAATTTAAAAAAAAAAATGTGTCAATATAAAGAACATTGTACATTTGTATATATTACAGATTTTATAACAATGATACTGAAAAAAAAGAGGCAGAAAGTAAATAAAACAACAAAAAAAAAAATGAAAAAATAAGAATATGCGTCATCGGTTCTACGAAGTATATACCTTTAGAGTTATCCTCTCTAAATAATGCGTTGCGTTAAGATCGTTAAATTATTAATTTACGTCTGACCTTGTAACAATAAAGAGGTGATCTTTATTTGAATTTCTGCTCTCTGAGTTTAATTTTCAGTCTTGAAGACTGACCAGATCTGGTAAATTAAAGAAGTATACAATCAATCAAAATTCAATTTATATATTTTAGCTATATTAGGAAAACCCAAAAGTTGAAATGATATGTTGTTTTGATGAAGCAAATCTTTTTTTCATATAGGGAAGTTTTTCAGTGAATATATCTTTAAATTTATAGTAATGTTGCATTATAAGCTATCTTCCTCAAGGTGATCAATTAACAAAAAACCAATTTTGTACCAAAAAATTCACTTTATTCTTTAGTCTCAGAAATGTATATTACAGATCCATGTTTCTCTAAAATTTGTTTAACTTAAACTCTTCTAAGACAGAAATGGTTTAGTTAAGATATCTCGTTAAAATCTGGTCCCAAATATGTTAGTAGTGTTATATTGTTATTACAGAAAAATAATTTAGCACAGGTAATAAAATATAATAGTAACAGTGAAATAACCTATTACAGATGGAAATGTTATTTTATTTAATTGTACAGTATAAATTAAAAATATAATTAATATTGCTTGCTTACATGAATTATCCATGGTGACGTCTTTTAAAGTACCAGGACTTACGCTGAAAAATAAAAAAGAACAATTAATTAACATATAAAATAAAGTTAATTTTACTGTAATATAATAAAAAAATATTATTTGTATTATTGAAATTTTTTAATATATATATACAATTAATAAAATAATGTAATAAATGTAATAAATAATAAATATTCTCCTTATTTATAATTTTGGAGAAAAATATCTTCCTCCGGATATTAACGAGCATTTTTATATTCGATACGAAATATTAAGGATAAGTTAAGATAACAATTATCTTCCTATCCTTTTGTGATGTTTTTATCGTATGAAGGAGAACGAGAACGACTCCTGTTTACGAACATTTCCTGACTTTCCATTACATATTTGTACTACTCGTAAACTGCTTTTTATGGGCGGCAGTTTTTATATAAAACTGATTCATCATTTAGTCGTTTCATTACCAAAACAAAATTTAATCTTTGTGTAATAACTTAAAACTAAAATGAGCTAATTCAACTAACATAGTTGCAGCTCAACAAACTACTTAAAAGATTGAGATGTGGGTCTTCTTCTCAATTAGCAATACCCGATACTTTTTTAAAACTTTTAACTTAGTTCATAATTTTTAAAGATTATATGCAAATTATTTTATAATGGATTTTTACCGCTCATTTTTTATAAACACAAGCAGTACTTTAATTAGCAGGAATAAAACAGAATTGATTGGGTAACTTTAAATAAATTTTACAATATAAATATATATATAAATTATACAAAATAAGATAAGAATTATATAGTACGAACCACCAAAAAAAAAAGTCTAATGTGTCTTCAATAAAAAGCGCAAAATTAACATGATTAACTCTTAATGTTGAATATGTTTATATGGAAAACAAGTTACAGAATTTATATATTAAGTGAACTTGGATTAAACTTTAGTGACCTTTTCACTGCAATAGCATAAGATTAAGATAGGTGAACTTAGTGAATTTTTGCGGGCAAATCAAGATTTCTTTGGGTAAAAAGAATAAGCTAGATCTGTCGGCTAAGAGGTAATTTTTTTACAGGTAGACGTGGTATAATACACATCGATTATCTTTGTTCGACAATGAATATCATTTCATTAGAACTTAAAATGAATTTGAAGAATAACGAACACTGTATCCATTAATAATTCCTTTGCTCAATAAAAATGTTAAAAAAATAAATTTATTTTTTAACCTCATTTATATAAATCAGTCTTTTCAAGTTGTTTAACATGTAGCAATTTTATTAAATTTTTTTTTTTAATTTTCACATCATAATTTTTTATGAGTTGTCTTTTTGTTTGTATCATAAAACACTTTTTATACCTAAAAACACTCGTTTACATTCGGTAGGATGCGATTACAAGCTCTATAAACAGCCCATGCCTTCCAGCCTTGTAGTTTTTTTACTGTTTGTGCACAGCGAACAGATTCCCTTATGTCATCGCTTAGTAATAATTTACAATCCACAGCGCACAAATTCAGTGATGTTCTATTTGGTGATGAAACGCACCAAAATCGATCACTTATTTGAAAAATACCGAAATCATTTGACCAATTTCCATTTAATCGCCCAATGGCAGAAGTATTGTATTTGCTTTCATAACGAGCGATGCACACCCACACTGGCAGCTCCTGTTTGAGTACTCCTAATTTATGCATTTCACGTGCCAAATCGCAACGGCTTAACACTCTTGTTTGTCCCATGTAAATATATATTAACAACAAAAAAACGATCCAATATTTACTTGAATATTTCATAATAATTATTGTTTATAGTAACGTCGAAATCAACACTGATTACAAAGTCAGCTAAGCTAAACGGTTTAAATATATTTGAACTGCAATATTAATTCAGTGGAAGCCTAATCTGAGCGTCACTCGTGGGTGCTAATATGGAACCGAAACTTGTTTTCCATGATATATTTATACGGCATTTATTATTTGATCTTGCTACCATAAAAATTGTAAATTATATATTTAGTGCATATTTTATTCTTAATTATTATTTTATACTTTAACTTTGAAACAATAAAAATCAAAATTGTGTCGTGCATTCGTTTCTTAAATAATATAATAGATTGATTAAGTGTGTTTAATAGAATACCCAAGAGCACTCCTCCCCCTCCACTTTTTTGCACATTAATAAATTAGAATAATTTTTTAATTAAGATAATATTATGAAATATAGGCAACGTTTAATACAATGAAATATATTCCAGCTTCTGACTTGACACGCTGTTATGAACAATATTTACATACTATATATACCTACGTATAAAATAGTTGCAGTGAATTTGACGTGAAAAAAATGAGTTGACATTAACATGCATTATTATTAGTGAAATTGTGAGCTCAACTAATTAGAAACGAACAATAGAGTATTATAACCAGACATATTAAAAAAACCACTCATGTTACAAGTTAATTGATAAATCCTTTACTTATCGTAATTTATGCAAGCATTTACTTAATTCTAAATTTATTCAGGTAACTCAAGATCTACAGATCTGCCTGGGAGAATAGTTAGTAAGTAATATTCAAGTGGTGGCCATGTGCTCAAAGCACACTTGAGCATAATGGCGCGTTGTGATACCACGGATCAGCGTTGTTGATAAGCAGACTAAAGATCCGCGTACGAACAATGCCGAAAGGGACTACTCCCCCATACAAGTAGAAATGAACCAACCTGAATTTGTCTATTTGTGTGTCCAAACATCCAACTATATGCTAACTGAAGCTTTGTCATTCTCATAGCTTTATAACCACTTGGATGGTTATCGATCCATACCCAAGGGTCACCGAAGAAACGCCAAAATAAAAAGATACATAATTAGCCGTACAGACCATAATCTATCTAAGTACGTTAGTATACTTTACCCCCATCCACAAACTGATAAGTATATAGATAAAAACTTAGCCGATTCAATAATTATGAAGGATAAAAGCTCTATGTCGATAAAAAAAAAAGCAACACCAAAAATTTTAAATTTTCTTCTAGCCAATGATGAACAATAATAGATGAAGTACAGATTTCATCTCATCCACCGAGAGACGCAGAGAAACATCATACCGTAGTGCCGAACAAATTACGCTTCCAGCTCAAATATTTTTGGTTGATTGTCAGTTTGGCCCTTGCAAGTGAGATACCAATATCTATAAATAAATAAATAAAGCAAGAGGAAGGAGTGAACACAACAACTGCTCATTGTAAGCTTAAGACTCAATTTAAGATTTAAGTATTCACACACTGGAAAACCATTGCATCAATTTTTATTCTTTATTTTATATACAAAACACATACAACTACTTTTACGCAAAAGTACGAGCGATATACTAACATCTAATTATTTAAATCATTATAAAATATCACCACATATCATCGAATTCTAGACATCTTAAGCTAGACATATAACATGTACGACAGTTTTTGACTGCTACGCATCTTTAAACGAGATGTTGTCGCTATTGAACATTTGTCTTCCCCCGGTATGCGATTGCAGGCATATTGCAGGCAATTGCAAAGGAGATGAGCTAGACTAACGGACTACCTTAGGAACTCATTCGGAACATTTAAACTATGCGGCATGCAGTTTAACATTTGTCTTTCCCCGGTATGCGATCACACATCGCATATTGCAGACAATGACAAAGGAAATGAGCTAGACCAGCGGGTACCTTAGGAACTCATTCAGAACATTCAAACTATGCGGCATGCTATTAGCGCTTCGTAAACAATGAATTCTTTATAAATTGAGCAATTGAATACAGGATGGAAAAATTTCACAATCTCATTGAGGTCTTATAATAAGAATGCAAAGTGATCAATGTCGAAGTGATATTCCTGCTAAAAATTGTACCTTCTCTTCAATGACTATTGTCGCTACTGTGAGGTACACAAAAAAGTTCTAGAAGCTCACTTACAAAATCTTAGTAGGTTACAACTTTTCTTAAAGAGTATCTTGATCTTTTTTAAGGGTTACAGTAGGTTTTAAATAATTCTATATTCTGAGCTTAATAATATTCATAAGATCACCGTTATAACCTAACACAACCTATATTAAAATACACTAATCTGTATCTATAAACAATCATTTAACAATCCTTAACATTTTTGTATTTTTAATTTCATTACTTCTTTTAACCCGTTTTTCAACATTTTTATTAAGAAATTATTTCACAAAACTGTTTAAACAGTCATTAAACTGTTAAATTCAAATGAATGTGTATGAATATGTATAAATACTATATTTTTATAATCTGCAGTTCGAAACATTAATAAACGATCATAATCAAGTTTTTAGGACAATTGAAAATGTTATTCAAAACAAGCATCTGCGTCTGTTAATGTTGTATTACAGAATTCTTCGTAAACGGTCCATGCTGACCAACCTTGCTGCTTAAGTATCGTACGTGCACATATAACCGCTTTAGTAATGTCATCTGTGATTAGTTCAGTACAATTGACATTGCATTCATTGAACACATAGTATTCCGTATCATTTGCTGGATTACACCAAAATTTATCGCTGATTTGAAATAAACCATAATCGCTAGATCCGTCATCATTACGTCTACCAATAACATGTGTATTGAAACGACTTTCATATTCCGCAATACAAATCCAAAGTGGTAGTTCCGCCTTAGGCACATCCAATATGTACAACTCCCCAGCTAATTCACAACGTTTCAAGCGACGCGCGTAAACATTTTGGGAAATTATTAATAATGAAATGATTATTAATATGCTCATTACTGAGGAAAATGCACAAATTTTCACTTTAAAACAAACGAAACAATGCAGATTTAGCAATTTAGTTATTTTAAGATATTTTAACATGTTTGCCTCAAACATAAAACACGATTTCACTTTTAAAATAATTCGTGCTAGTACCCAGAAGATAAAATACTGAGAATTTAAATCAAAAAGCTTTGTAAAGACATTGGTAAACTGGTTTCGTTTAAAATTGAAATGAAATATGAAAAACTATAATTAAAAATAACCATAAACTATTGATGACATATGATGATCAAACATATAGATACTTTAAAGTAGAGATTATATAAAACTAATTATGATAATTATAGTTTTAAATTTTAATTTGCATAAGAACAATAACTTTAAATTATAGAAGAGTACTAAACTAATTTTCTTCAACGCAATGTAGGTATGGTATCTATTTTAAATAAAAATATCCACTCTGTTATGTTATTATTTTTATTACTAATAGTCAGATTATAATATGATTTATGATTTATAAAACTTGACTTCAGATTAGTATTGTTCGCCCTATTAGAAGAAGAAGATATCAGCAATTACAACAGTCAATAAATACGTCTCAATAGAAATAATTATACTAGTAGCAACAAACCAGTGGATATGTTGGTAGGTAACCTGTTTTCATTAAACAAAAGTAACTGAAATTATGAAAAAAACAAACTGTAAAGTACTTTAAAATAAGATTAAAATTAAAAATATAATCGCAGTCAGAATATATCAACTAAATGAAAATCAAATAGTTGAATATAGTTGTCTTCCTCAATGGTCTTCAATATGATTTCATTTAAATCCAAATTATCTTTTGAACAAACATTGAATTTTCTAATCAACATGAGAAGAAGAAATCATCTTTACGTGATGGAAATAAATTTTTAACATCATCAACTAAAAATCCTTGTATTTGTGGTAACCATGACATAGTTTTAAGTTTTAATACTGACTTAAGTCATGCTTAAACCATCATCTTCGATGCTATAATTCATACTTAATTCAGTTTTGCGATATAATGTACAATGAATAGCATATGCTTTATAACTTCACTAAAATTATAACTAACAGCACCTACAACGCGTTAAACAAGATCAAATACGAAAGACAGAATGATATCCTAGAAAAAAGATGGACAAAAAAAATTCTACATAAAAGAAACACGTTTAAATATTTAAACACAAAAGTAAATGTCGAAGCTGTCTACCAATTCAAATATCTGGGCAGTAACAAAGCATAACGTGGATAACAAATGGACTGCATTTGAAAACAACATAAAATAAAATCTTTTATGAATAAATGTAGTCAATCTCTGGAAAACCGTGTAGCAGTTTATAACACTCGCGATGGAGCAACAGAAAAGCAGATCACATCAGAAGCAGCGCAAAGATCTGTACTCGGTCCTGAACGATAACTTCGATGGTATCTTAGAGTTAGAAATGCCAGACAATACGTACTTGGTGGCATTTGTAGACGACGTAACCGTAGTGATAGGAACACGAAACAACAGAAAAAGAAGCGCAATGAAAGCTATGGAAACTAAATATGGTAAGGATACGAACGCTGAGAAAACGGAGCTAATACTATACTATAATGTCGCAGAAAACAGTTAAATATTTAGGTCTTCAAGTGGATTCTAGACTAACATACTGAACTCAGATTAAGAAACCGGAAACTAAAGCTACAGCATTCGAAACTACAGGAGCATTGATGGGACTTGTGGTAAACATAAGAGAACCCACACAGAGCAAAAGACAGCTCCTAATGACGACGGTAAACTCCATTCTCGTGTATTGAAGTGAGATATGGGAAGATACACTAAAAGAACAATATTGCAAAAAAGATTTAGCGTTAGTGCAACACATAACAGCTTTGAGGATATCTTCAACGTACTGCACCGTTTCTAAAGCAGTGGTACGTGGATGATGGAACACAAGGCTTATTTTAGATCTAAAAAACTGACTAGCAAGGGATTACTTAATTTAGTTCCTATCTGGTCATAGTTATTTCAACAACTACTTCTACCGAATGTGCAAAGTAAAATCACCAAATTGCATATATTGCAGAGCTAAATACTCGTATGATACCGCAGAGTACACATTCTTTGAATGCAAAAAATGGATATCCAAACGAGTAGTGCTAGTAGCGCAAGTTAGTGTTCTCTTCCTTAAGGAAGAGAATGTTGACAAAAACAATGATCGAAAACAAAACAAACTGGAATCACATAGTAATGTTTGCTGAAAAGATCCGAAAGTTGGATAAAGTAAATTTCGACAGAAGGTAACTGGAGTATGTGAATGTACTACACCAGGATGAAGTGCAAGGCTAGTCAACTGAAGCAGCAGTGGAACCTGGACGCAGGTCACACCGTCACACCTACCTCGTAGTAACACTAACGTAGTTCCGGAATAGGATAAGGTCTCTAGGAATGAAGGGTTTAGTTTGTGCGAGACGGAGACTCATTTGTTGGGGCATATGTACATTCTTATATTTATTATGTCATCATAATAATAAAACTAAAAAAAAATATTGAGGCTAGAAGGTTCAGTCAAATTTAAAATCATTTATAAATAATTAAACGCAGTATTTTAACGAAATCATTAAGTAGTGAAATATGTATGTTTGATCATTGACTTCAGACTTAATTAGTTGTGTTGCCACAAAATCTCAATATAACTCCTAATTTAATTATCAGGTTTTATTGATTACTTTGTTATAGACACATTAACAATAATGGGACATTATCCAACTCGAAACAGTTTTTTGAGTATAGCAATACTCAGGACAGGAGAATGTGTTCGATGGTTTTTTATTCTAAGGAATATATTTCTAAAAAAACATTTTTGAGAAATGTTCAATCATTTCTGAGCATAAAACTTTAAATTCAAAAGATTTATCTTTTGCTATCACTAATTTACTTATAAATTACTACAGTCAAATTAGTGCAAATTCATATTGGGATGCTTTTATTAAATATGACATAATTTGATAAAAAAAATAAAGTTATTCTTATAGTGAGTGTAGACGGAATTTTATATTAAGACTTTATTAAATCAAATTTTTTTTATTATGAAATTGTGTAATTAAATTAATATTTTATTAATACACACACATCACATATCTTACGCTACTAAGTTTAAAGTAGACACACAATTCTTTAAAATATTTTCAAAATTGCTCCAAGGAGGCATTTCTAAATATAAAAATTTAAATCTTTGAACTTTTTCTCAATTTGATTGTCGTCTATATTTCATGAAGTAGGCAGTCGTATATACCGTATTTATGGAAAAGAAATTTTAATTACGGAAGTAAAATAATGACATCATAATTCTTTGCAATGAATGTAGGTAAGCTGTAGATAACCATATGATTGTACTATATATGCAAAGAATTAAATTTTTATATAGAATAAAATCAATCTTATTATTTACTATTGACAGCGAAATATACTTAGCAGTACTTAACTTTGAAAAATTTTAATAACAAACAATTTCTTCATTGAGTTATTGTACATGGAGTGGTTTTACATAGAGCAGAGTTTACTAAAAATATACTTCTATTGTGACTGTGATCTGAATGTAGATACTGGGGTTAATAATCTTTTATAAAGAAATGAATAATTTCCTGTATGCATATATAATTAGAAATTATAAGTTTTTATATATGTTTTTGTTCAAACGCACGTAAACGCAATAATTATTTGGATTTAATAAACTAATAAAAATCATTTTAGATCTTTATTAATTAAGAGTATATTTACGAAAAATAAGTTAAAAAGTATAGAAGCATATATCATAAAGTCTATTATAAGATGAAGCTAATTGCATATTAAATTCAAAGCTATCAGTGTCAATAAAATTATAATTTATCAGTAAAAAGTAAAATTATCATAATTGCAAAATAATCAAACATAATGTATTACATGCACAGTCAAATTGACATAGTGCCTACAGCACTATGAACCAGTCAAATTGATATGGTTCTACAGAGACGAACCATTTATCAGTGAAGTCAATTGCACAAATAATGTTGCCGTGGTATGATTATACCTTTATACAGACTCTGTAACAATTACATTACTTGAATGTCAACTGACTTTGCTCAACTTTGCTGTAATTACAAAACTGGCAATTACTAAGCACTTTTTATGTTAGACAAATCAACAACCGAACAAATTCTCACTATCTGATAAATTATTGAAAAATTAAACAAGCAATCAAATTTTTATCACTTCTGTATTAATTTTAACCAATTATTTGATTCAATAGATAGAGATATATTACATAGAGTTCTGAAATACTCTTGCATACCCCA